TCTCTGTCTCCAGGTAACCTGGCCGGACACGGGGCTCCTTCACATCCAAGCTGTGAACTCTTTTTTGATTTGTTATTTCTTTAAAATTATCTTCTCTGAGGATACTTCCCATAATATGAACCATAGAAAGGACACGTTTTATTCTCTTGTCTTTTCACCAAGATAGCCCCGCTGCCTATGGAATTGACAACTGGCCTCTCTGGACAGGGTGGAGGTTGTGGATAAAATGAAGGCCGAACTTCAAGGGCAAGGGGCTGCGGGGCTGGAAGGCTGCGTCTGGGACTCCGTTTATTCCACTAAGCACTGCGCTACTGTTGCAGGTCTGGAGTGCAGCTTTGACTCCCCCTGCGAGCTGGAATATTCCCCTCCACTGCATGACCTCGGGAACCAGAGCTGGTCCTGGCGCCGCGTCCCTTTGGAGGAGGGCTCCCAGATGGACTTGCTGGATGGGCCTGAGGCAGAGCGCTCTAAGGAGATGCCCAGAGGTAAGGGTAGAGGCCTCCGGAAGTGTCTTGGGTGGGCCAGGACCAGGCCAGAATGCTTATTTCTGTTTCAAATGAGGCTTCCTCAGCCCTGTTCTGCCCTATTTCCCTTGAAACTTGTTTCTGATATCTGCACCTCTGCATTGCTTCTTGGGCCATGCCAGGAAGGGAAGGATGCAAGCCCAGTTTTAAGATCAGCCCCAAGCTTTACTCTTAAGTAATAGAAATAGGATTTTATAACTCTATGCAGTTGTGAAATCCTTGCAGACTTGCCAATGTAAGTTGAAGGAGAAAGTGCTGATCTCTCTGTCCATTTGAAAGGAGGTTGCCAGATAAAATACAAGATACCCTGTTACATTTGAATTTCAGATAAACAGCAAATGATTTTTTAGTATAAGTACGTCTCATGCAATGTTGTTGGAATACACTTATACTAAAAACTATTCCAATTATACTAAAAAATTCAAATGTAATTGAGTGTCCTACATTTTTATTTGCTAAATCTGGCGATCCGAATTTGGAAAGTATTGTAGAAGTGGGTTAAATGTTTGCTTCAAAGCCATTCATGAATATTCAGATTGCATGCTTGCTTCGAATGGTGCTTCCAGTAGTCCTGCGCTGTTGGTGAACATCCTTTTCCTAATTATCAGGGCCTGGAAAAGGTAGGCTTTGAGTAAGTAGTGAGTGGGTATTAAATATTCACAGGGTTTTGAAGAGAGACAGATGGAGGCACTAAGCCCTCATGGAGTTGCAGGTCTTTCTGAGCCAAAGCTTAGGGCTCCCAACTTCTTGGACTCAGAAAACATAACTGACCCAGGACTGCCTGCCTATGTTTCTGGCTTTTAGGAAAAAGTGAAAACTATAATGGCAATGGACTTATCAGACAGGCCAGGGTAGTGTTTTCAGTTTGCAAAGCACTTCCAACTTTACTATTTCAGTAGATCTCAGAGTTATGATGGAGCCGGGGAAGATGAGGGAACTAAGGCTTAGAGAGGAAAAGTGATTGGCCCAAGATCACACAGCCTGTCTATATGGGTCCCCATCTAGATGCCTGAGTCCTCGACCAGGACATACTTTTCACCGCATCATGTTGCTGTCTTTGTAGCAAAGTAAGGGCCAGAGTCTGCAGCTATACTTCTATAAAAATAGTTAAATAAGTAGTGGGATGGATTATAGAATTGTGACCAGGTCTATATACTCAAACAGCATGCATGCTCTTAGATGGGTAAAGCCTATCATTAATCTTTTCCAATGTGTGGCCACATTCTTGGAGGTGATGATCTCAGGCTTATACTATTAGGAGGTCTAGCAGGGACAGGGCTCAGAGAGGCTGGTGGGAGAGGGTGGAAGTGGCAACAACTACCACTGTGAGGTTTGCACACCTGCCTCTACCTGGTCACAACAGAACAGTGAGATTTCTTGGCTTTCTATATACACTCTCCTGTGCTGACCTTTTCTGTTTTTATGACTCTCTTGAGATTTCCTGACCTTGGTTTCTATTTTAGCACCTTTCACCCAGATACCGATATGTATTATGTGTGTAGGTGAGTGCCTCTTAACCTGATAGTGCATCACAATCTTCTGGAGAACTTACCAAAAGTACTACTTACACCACATAGCCTGAGATTCTGATCCAGTAGATCTGAGATGGAACCTGGGAATCTGTATATTTTACAGTTGTATTACAAAAGCTAGCATGAGCAAAAATACAGGTATTTTTATTCTAATGCATAACATTAGAATAAGCCAACACCTGCTTAAAAGAGAAAGCTCATTTCCACCACCGAACTTAAGAATTGGAATGGTCTAAGTCCTTTTATAACCCCCTCTGCCCCCAACTAGATCACAAGCTTTTCCTACCTCTCCAGGTAACCACTCCTCTATATTTTGCGTCAGTCCTCCATTTACTCTTCTTTATGTCCTTGCCACCTGTGAATATAGCCCCCAAACAACATATGTGTGTGTTTGCAAGCTTTTATATAAATGGAATTATGCTCTTTTCTCCATTTTGATACATGTGGCTGGGTACATTTGTTTTGGGTACTATGCGGAATCGACTGCATGAAAATGCTGTAGTTTATCTCTTCTACTGTCATCAGACATTTGAGTTGTGTCTAGGTTCTTGCTATCACCATCAATATTATAGGAAGCGTTTTTGTGTCTCTGCCTTGGTACACATGTCCAAGAGTTTCTAAGTCTAGAGCATACAAGAGTGGAATTGTTGGGTCATGGGGTCAGTGTTTCTTCCATTCATTAGGTCATGCCAGTCTATTTTCCAAAGTGGTTGCACCAATTTATATTCCCGCTGATGACCTATTAGTATTCCTCCCCATGGTTTTATGCCCTCATCGGTACCTGGTATTGTCAGACTTTATCATTTTTGTCCATCTGGTGAATAAAACAAAGGGTATCTATTGCAGCTTCACCCTCTCTGGAAGCTGTTTTGTTTTGTTTTTTATAAGTTTCTCAGGCAATTGGGAGGCATAGTTAGGCTTGCTGTACTATTGACATGGACCTCTTTCAGATTTATTCCCATTTAGCCACCCCAAGGGATATCTCTAGATTTTAGTACCCACCCTCTGGAAACATGCATTTTTGGTCAGGGGAGATTTATTTTCTAATTTATATTCTAGGGATTGAATTGTGATTACAGTTCAGTGAGATCAAGGGAGAGGGGACAAGTGGCAATTTTGTTCTTTGTGAATTCTACCAACCTTGCAAAGTCAGACATTATAACTCTGAAATTTGATGCTTTAAACAAAATTTTATGGTGCCAATAAATTGTGCTTTCTACTCTCTGAGCTGCCTCTCCCCCTCCATTCTTTACCTTGTGATCTCTGGTTCATGCCGGTTACATTGAGTGCTTGAGAAAACAAGAACAGGGAGACGAGGGAAGGAAGGAAAAAAAATAAACGTACACTTCTTAGTGTTCCTTAGCAGAACTCGGTGTGGAAACAGAGCAATACCTTTATGTGTTTGTGAAGCTGGGAGCCAAGGGTCAGTACATGCATTGAGTGAAAACCTATTCCCTTTAGATGAATCAGAAAAGACTGGAATATCCAGTTTTTAAGTAAATCTTGTCAACTTTCATCTCTCTGAAAGTCATCGCTCTTACCACTAAGTAGTAGATAGCATTACTAAGGGTGATGGTGTGAACAAGCACAGCAAAAGCCACGTTGAACACACCAGACTCTTTTTACTAAGCTCTCTTATGAACAAATACATCCAAGTATGACTGGGGGAGTCTTACCACTGTCAGAAACTTGTTCTTATTTTTAGAGGGTCAAATGGAGGATCAAATGTCTATACTCATATGACATTGCCAAGTCACAGACTTAATGGGACCAGCTTCCCAACCATTGCAGGGACTGCCCACCTTAGTAATGACACCAGTAGGTGTTCAGAACTTTCATCAATGAATCTCTGTCATTGTTTTTTGAGTCAATTCATTACATCACTACTTGTTCCCCAAAGTAAGGTTGTTCCTCATGAAGCAGGGTGATGTAATAATGTCCCTTGAACTTCAAGAAAAGAGATGAAGGTACAGGAGGAGAAAATGACCTGCCCGTTCTGCCCAGTGGTGAAGCAAGGACCTACCTTACAATTCCAACTCTCAAATCTTTAGAGTCTCAGTTTCTCTGTCATTTTGGCAGAAAGGATGCTGGCAGTGATGACGAAGAATGATAAGGTTGCCTTTGGGGTAGTGTAGTTGCTGTTCTGTTTTGGTTTTCTAATTCAGCATTTATTGGTCAGCTGATATTGGGGCTCAATGGCAATATTTCTTTTAAAGGAAACAGAAGGGTCGGACGAAGGCAGCAAGATAATACCAATCATAGATAATGAACTGTAAGAGTATAAATTCCAGATGATTTTAATTTATGGCCTCTGTAGCTGAGGATAATAAGACAGATACAATTCAGAGCAGCAAGATAATAAAAAGTGATGATTTTGATGGAACACAATATTATAAATTAATAAAATCTTGAGCAACCATCAGGTTGAGGTATTTGGTGACTTTTTAAGAAGTGTCAAGGGCTTGTTTGAGATCTATAATTTCTGGCATTTGGGAATGCAGTCAGGGGAACATGTTCTTCTTCTCCAGAAAGACAAGACTTTACTCCTTAGCTTGAACCCTTTGAAAACTTACTCCAGAGCCCCTGCCCCAGCCCCTCACTCTATGCATACACAGGAAGGGGTGGGGTGGGCTCTGCTGCGAGGAGCCTTCAGTGCTCCAGTTCTCATGGTTTTGCTTTGTTTTGCTTTGCTTTTGGTGGAGAGCCTGGATGGAGCCTTGCCAGTGATGACAAAGAATAGATTCTTCTATTCATCAAGATGGTTTAGTTTTCAAAAAGATGATGGCCAGGCACAAGGTAGCTCACGCCTGTAATTCTAGCACTCTGGGAGACTGAGGCAGGAGGATTGCTTGAGCTCAGGATTTCAAGGCCAGCCTGAGTAAGAGTCAGACTCTCCCAACATAGAAAAGTTAGCAGGGCATTGTGGTGGGCATCTTTAGTCTCAGCTACTCAGGAGGCTGAGGAGAGAGGATCACTTCAATCCAGGAGTTGGAGGTTGCTGGGAGCTATGACGACGTCATTGCACTCTATCTAGGATGACAAAGTGAGACCTTTCTCAAACTCCTACCCCCTGCAAAAGGTTGAAAAACACCGTCCAAGAGCCCCATAATGGCTAAGGATGCTTCCGCATGAGAAGCGGCATGGTACTGCAGCACCAGAGCGGGCTCATTCAACCTTTTGATCTACTCTTGTTGTGTCCTGTGTGTTACTTTCCTATGGCTGTGTTAACAAATTCTTACAAATAGGTGGCAACAGGAATTTATTCTCTGCTATGTTTGGAAACCAAGAGCATGAAGTCAAAGTGTCAGCAGGGCTGGTAACTTCAGGAGGCTCTGAAGGAGAATCCGTCCCAGGCCTCTCCAGCTCCTGGAGGTTGCTGACAGTCCTTAGAGGTGTTGGCTTGTAGATACACTGCTCCAGTCTCTGCCC